ATTTTTTTTTTTTTTTTTTTTTTTTTTTTTTTTTTTTTTTTGTACTTTTTATACGTTTTTTACTCTTTTTTATCTATTTATTTATTCTATTATCCTTTTTTTATTATTTTCTTTGTCCTTTATATAACTTTTTATTCTCTTTCTTTCTATTTATTTATTATATTCTTTTTTATTTAATTGTTTATTCTATTACTCTTCTTTTTATTATATTTATGCCTTTTCTTTTTCCTGCCTTTTCTTTGTTTATATAATTCTCTTTTTATGTATCTATCTATTACTGTCTCTTGTTCTTTTGTTAGTAAGACCCTTTTCTTCTTTTTTCCTTTTTATTAATTAATTAATTAATTAATTAATTAAATTTATTTATTTATTTATTTATTTATTTATTTATTTATAGGGGCTCGTGCTGTATACGAGAGATGGATGGATTGGAATCCGTCAGATAAAGGATGGCTAGTGTATATACACTTCGAGGAAAGATGCAGAGAATTAGAGAGAGCAAGAAGAATATTTGAGAGGTAAACCCTAAACCCTAAACCCTAAACCCTAAACCCTAAACCCTAATATGAATATATATATGAGTATTTATGTGAATAAGATAGTATTTTTTACATAAAAATAAAGGAAATAAATGGGTAAATAAATAGATATATATATAATATGTATAATATATATATTTATATATGTATATATAGGGAAGGATTAGAGGAAACAGTATTATCTAAAAGACGATTTATATACGAAGAATTATTAGATAAAAATCCATGTAATTATGATGGATGGGTTGATTATATTAGATTAGAGGAATCAACAAATAATATAAATAAAATAAGAAATATTTATGAGAGGGCAGTTGCTAATGTACCTCCTATACTACAAAAAAGATGCTGGACTAGGTAAGATTATTTATTTATTTATTTATTTATTTATTTATTTATTTTATTTGTTTATTTATTTATTTATTTATATATATCCATGCATATGCTAATATACCTCCTCTAGTACAAAGTACAGATGCTGGACTAGGTAAGGAATTTATTTATTATTTAGTATTTAGTTGTCTCCTTTTCTTTTATTTATTAATTATGCTTATTTATTTATTTATTTATTTATTTATTTATTTATTTATTTATTTATTTAATGCTTTTTTGTATATTTATATATGGATATATTATGCGTTATTTGCTGAGTTAGAGGCAAAATGGATTATGTATAGTTGTATCTATTTATTCGCATTTAATCCCTTAAATAAATAAATAAATAAATAAATAAATAAATAAATAAATAAATAAATTATATTTATTTATATATTTATTTATTTATATCTTATGCATTATTTGAGGAATTGGATGCAATAGACCCATCTATATATTCACATTGAATCCCTTAAATAACTAACTAAATAACTAAATAAATAAACAAAAAAATAGATAAATAAATAAATAAATAAATAAATAAATAATATATATGTGTATATATATATGATTGATTTAGGTATATATATATATGGATATCCTATGCATTATTTGAGGAATTGGATGCAAAAGACATAGATAGATGCAGAAAAGTTTACTCAAAAATAATAGAGATTATTCCTCATCATCTTTTTTCTTTTGCTAAAATTTGGACACTTTATGTTGCATTTGAGGTAATTATACTCCTATTCCTCCTCCTCCTCCTCCTCCTCCTCCTCCTCCTGCTCCTGCTGCTGCTCCTGCTGCTGTTGCTCTTGCTGTTGCTGCTGTTGGTGGTGGTGTTGGTGTTGGTGATTAGTTTCCTGTGATATACATATACAATTACAATTACAACTGTTGCTGCTGTTGCTGTTGTTGTTGCTGCTGTTGTTGCTGCTGTTGTTGTTGCTGCTGCTGCTGCTGTTGTTGCTGTTGCTGCTGTTTCTGTTGTTGCTTATGTTCCCTGTCTTTTTCTTATTTATTATTATTATTATTATTATTATTATTATTATTATTATTATTATTTATTGCTATTTTCTTCTTTTATTTGTTAATAGGTTCGTCAATTAGATCTAACTCGTGCCCGTAAAATATTTGGATTAGCTATAGCTAAATGCGGCAAAGAGAAAATATTTCAAAGTTATGGACAATTAGAGTTACGATTAGGAAATATAGATCGTTGTAGACAGATTTATGCTAAATTTATTGAGACTTTTCCTCTTAATCCTAAGGTATTTATATTTCTATCTATATTATTCATACTCTTCTTATTGTTGATGGTGATGGTGCTTCTGCTGCTGCTTGTGATTCTGCTGATGCTGAATGGTTGTTGGGCTTGGGATGGTGGTGGTCCATTAGGGCGGGGAGTAGGAATTTGGTTTTAGGGTCTAGGGTTTAGGGTTTAGGGTTTAGGGTTTAGGGTTTAGGGTTTAGGGTTTGGGTATGTAGAGTATACGTACATAATAATAAATAAATAAATATATTAATTAATTAATTAATTATATTTATTTATTTATTTATTTATTTATGTATACAGGCGTGGATATATTTAATAGAATTAGAAATATTAGCAGAAGAGACGGAGAGGGCGCGAGCAATTTGTGAAATAGCGACCTCTATTGAGCAAATGGAGATGCCAGAGCTAGTAAGAATTATTTTATTTATTTATTTTATTTATTTTATTTATTTATTTTATTCTGTTTTATTTATTTGTTTAATGCCGCTTTTATAAGCTTTTGTTTGATTATATTAAATAGGGGATATGCGTGGTTTAGGGTTTAGGGTTTAGGGTTTAGGGTTTAGGGTTTAGGGTTTGTATGTATAATATTTATGTGTATATAATATATGATTGATTCGCCATTTATATACTTCTCCTTTCTCTGTTGTATATCCCCATTACCTCTAATAAATAGCGAATATAAACACAATAAAATAAATAAATAAATAAATAAATAAATAAATTTATTTATATATTATGTGTATATAGATATGGAAGACTTATATAGATATGGAGATAAAATGGGGAGCATTTGATCGTGCTCGTTCTTTATACGAAAGATTATTAGATAAGACACAACATGTTAATGCATTTAAAGGATATTCTAATTTTGAATGGAAAAAAGCTGAACAACCAGATAGAGCTAGACAGGTAATTCATTTATTATATCTTTTTCTTATTTATTTATTCTTTTTTATTGATTTCTTAGCTCCAGTTTGATGGGTTTATATATATGCTTATTTTGTTGGATATAGAGGTGTGTGTAAATATATAGGGACAGAAAGAGAGAAAGAAGGGCATTTCTTTATATGTATTTTTATCTATTTATATGTATTTATATTTATATATTTATATATTTATATATTTGTGTATGTATATGCATATGTATTAGGTATTAAATAGAGGACTTGACGTATGCAAGGCTAACGGATGGGACGAAGATCGTGCTGCATTGTTGGAGGTATGCATACTATGCGAATAATTAACCATTAAAAGTATAATATTAAATGATAAATAATTAAATATTAATAAATAATGTATAATTATTCTTTAAATTATAAAAATAACCCTTATTTTCCCTCTCTTTCCCCTTTTTTTACACAAATATAACCTGCCTATACACCCTGCGGTGTATGCGCACCTTTATGCAGCATTGGTTACAATTAGAAAGAGAAAATGGTGATCAACAATCCATTCAAAGAGTATTCCGTCTTCTTCCTAAGAAAATAAAGAAAAGAAAAACACAAAAAAATGCTAATGGTGTAGAGGAAGTCACAGAAACACTTACTTATGTATTCCCTGATGATGAAGGATCTGCTGCAGTAAGATCAATATACATAATTCTCCTGCTGCTGTTGCTGTTGCTGCTGTTGCTCCTGTTGCTGCTGTTGTTTTTGTTGCTTTTGCTGCCGTTGCTTGCATCCGTGCATGCATGCATCTACGAATGGATGTATACATGGATGTATTTATAGATACATTAGGATGAATTAATGATATGTACAAAAGATGTTGTTATAGTTGTGGGTTTGTTGTTTACTAAATATATGCATGCGTAAAAATGGGGCTTTAATACGCATGCATGCATGCATGCATGCATGCACACATATGGGTATTTTTAGGTGTATGTACACCTCATAACTGTATGACGATTTCCTTTTTTCTTGTTTATGCAGAATCTTAAAATCCTTCAAGCAGCAAAGATGTGGAAGAAACGTCAACTCGAAGGACAAGTATAATTGGATATTAATACCTGATTAGGGTTTAGGGTGTAGGGTTTAGGGTTTAGGGTTTAGCCCTGCATGCAATCAGGTGTAGAGAGGATATTTGCCGAAGACTTGCAGTATCTCTCTGTTGCATGGGGCTTGACTCCTCTTGTATATATTATAAACATAAAATATATATATTATATACTATATATAATATATATTATATATAATGTGTAGTACACATGTGGGTCTGAATGCATGCATGCGTGCATGCATGCGTGCATGCATGCAAGCATGCATGCATGCATGCAAATATTGGTTTTTTAAAGGTAATAAGCGCATGCGTGCACGAGTACAAACCTTTTTAGTGTGTGCATGCAAATTGCTGCATTTTTACATTTGTATTAATGCTTATTGAGGAACTTATGGATACAGCACACACTTACAAATTGATACTGCAACAGCAGCAGCAGCAGCGGCTGCTGCTGCTGCTGCTGCTGCATCTGATAGCATCGTACAGCATTCAGAAACAGCTAGTCAATGACGGGGGAGCTAGCTAGCTAACTAACTAACGAACTAGCTAGCTAGTTAGCTAGTGGGGTACTCGCACATGGCTAGCTAGCTAGCCGTAGCTCGCGAAGTATTCATAGCTAGTGGCTGCGGAATCGTTAGCTGCAGCCAGGCGTGACTACCTGCAGCTAACTACAGCTAGCTACAGCTAGCTAGCTGTGAGGAAGGAGTGCCTGTGTGCATCTGTTACCAGCTCAAGGAGCAGCAGCAGAAGGAATAACGACAACCAATGTGTACTATTTGTCTTCTTAATGCTGCTTTAGTTAGCTGCTGTGTTTGCTGTAGTGTATAGGCAGCTATTATATTACCTTAATGAAGAAATAAGGGAGGGAGAGGTGCTCAGTAGTATTCCTTGTTCAATTAGGGAGTTATATATATGTATATGTATGCACACACTGTGTAAACATCGATTGTAAGGAAGAAGAGAGCTGTTTGCTGCGTGGTTGTTGTTGTTGTGTATAAAAGAGTAAATTAATTGAATTAATTTATTTCCCTCAATGATGAATAGAAAAGCGGAGATGAAGGAGGAGAAAGAAGGAGAGGCGTTCCTCGATCCGATCTATTGTTCCTTTTTTTCTGCTCCTACTTCTCCGTGTGCAAGTTTCTTCTGTGTTGCGGGAAAGTAGTGGAAAGCGAGCTAAAAATGCCATTTTCCAGCTTTTTTATTGATTGATTTTGCAAAAGCAATGAAATGCAAATTGAATATAAAGAAGGAAAGAATCTTTCCTTGTGGTTTCCCTCATGGTCGTCGTCACTTGCAGCTGCGCGAACACAGGGAAGAAGAATATACAAGGTGGGCATCTATATTGGATATTGTTTCGAGTGTATTTATGAGTGAATTGTTATTACATCCAATTCTGCGACTTTTGCATGGATTGATAAAAGTGAAGATAAACCTTGATTGCGAGATGATCCTGAAACTCTCGACCTGCACGTACACCCGATTCCGCCGGGCGAAGCTTTGAGTGTGTAGTGGTCATGCGGACATGGAAATGCTTATTTTCCGCTTTGCTCTTCTTGCAATTTGAATTCATATTTTGAATTCCTTTCTTTTCGGGGTATTGCCGACGTAGAAGAGCCCACAGCTGTAGCTTTTCGTCGTTGGCCAGGCATGCAGAATCGGCAACAGGTGGCTGAAGAAAGTTGGAAAGCGACCGTCTTATGTCCTTGTTGAATGGTGGGTTTTTCCTTCTTCGACTTGAATTCTTATTTTTTTATTTTTAAGAACATACCATGAACAATCGCTGGATCTTTAGCCAGCAGGCGCAGCTTCCTTCGGCTAGCTCGACGACGGTCTGCCAGTCGTTCAAGTATTGAACACAGAAGATTTCGGGTGTACGACGAGCTCCTTATACCTCGTCAACAGCAAGACACTCAACAGTAAGGGCTCATGGAGGTCCTTACATTTTTGATTTAAACCGTAAAAGCCCCGGACTCAGCAGCAGCACCACCTTCTTGGGAACGCCGGGAGCAGCAGCAGGCACGGCAACCAGCAACAGCGCAGCAACAGCAACAAAATACCCTTCATCAAGGGATTCCCTTTCTTTATTGGCTATGGAGTTGAAGATAATATAGTAAAAGAAATAACTTATCTGGCCTCACAGCTAAGGCTACAAGAATTCAATAAGAAGAAGATATATATATGCACATACATAGTATACATGTATAGATACATATATACATATATACATATACTATATAAACTATAATATAGAAGCTGTATGCACATATTTGTGTGTATATACAGACGTTATGTATAATTCATTTACTAGTAAAGGGCCATTATAATAAGAGGCCCTCCTTATAATTATTTCCTTATCTTGGATTTCTTAAGAGGGAGCATGCGGCCTCTTAAGAGGCAGCAGCAACCGGTTTCTGCATACACCGCAAGCGTGCATAATAATCTTAAGCAGAAGAAGCAGCAGCAGCATAAGCAGCAGCCACAGAGCCGCAGCCGACGCCGCAGCAGCAGCAGCTGCAGCATCCGCAGCAGCAGCAGCAGCAGCAGCAGCAGCAGCAGATATGCAGCAGCTGGGTATAACGGAAAAAGAAGGGGAAGGATCCCTTTTATTGCCTGATGAATTATTAAGTCCACCTGTTAATTGGAGTGTATCTACACCTTCTACTTCATTTGCTAGTGAGCCTTCCCCCTCTAATACAACAGCTCTTCTTCCTCCCCCTACAAGATTAACAAGTGTCTCCTTAGGTGTCTCCTTATCTAATCATAATCATAATAATGCTGCTGCTGCAGCAGCAGCAGCAGACACAGACCCACAACAAACCTCCGCTCCTCACTCACCTGATACACCACTCAACTCAGTAAGCTACTTCCTTATTCTTCTTCTGTAGCTGTTGTAGCTGCTGCTAATGCTGCTGCTGTTGTTGCTACTGCTGCTGCTGCTGCAGTTTTGGGGGTTGAAGTTTGGGCTGTAGATGATGCTACTGGTGCTCCTTGTTTGTTTGTCGTCTGGTTAAGATGACTTATGTGGATGTGGCTGCTGTGGCTATGTGGCTGTATGTTGCTGCTGTTGTTGTTGCTGTTGTTGCTGTTGCTGCTGTTGTTACTGTTGTTGCTGTTGTTGCTGCTGGTGTTTGTTGCTGCAGCTACAGGATGGGTGCATGGGTCCTGCAGAGGAGGGCCCAGGTGCTTGCCTGGGCTCTGCTTTATCGATGTTATCAGCGGATAGTGCTGCAGCAGCTGCTGCAGCAGCTGCTGCAGCAGCAGCAGGTGATGCATGCAGCAGCAACAGCCCATCCTTGGGTCCCCCCTTACCGGCTAGCTCTGAAGATACAGACGCCTTAGGGAGTTTAACAGAGGGTTGGATACCTCAAGGATTGGATCGTTCTTCTTGTTCGTCCTCTCCTTCTCCTCCCCCCTCCTCCTCCTCCTCCTCCTCCTCCGCCGCCGCCGCAGCAGCAGCAGCAGCTGCTGCTGCTGCAGCAGGAACAGGAGAGGTAGATGTAGGGGGACTAATAGGAAGAAATACATTCTTACAACAAAAGGATATATGCCGTATGACTATTGAATGTTTAGGGGTAATAAGACCATCATGGCGAGACACCTCATTAGGGGGTATACAAAGTATAGCTTATTATAGACATATAAATAAAGTTGCTGCTGCTGCTACATTTACGGATCTACAAAGATATATTGATGTATTAGAGCCTCTATTTGCTGCTGCAGGCAGCAGCATCAGTACATGTCCTGCTCTGAAATCTGCAGTAGAAGATGTATTAGCTAAATGTATGCTGCAGCAGCAGCAGCAGCAACAGCAGCAACAACAACATCAACAACAACTTCTTCTTAATCATGAAGAAGATGATGATCCTGAATCTGAACATATACCTACAACATCCTCTGCAGCAGCAGCAGCAGCAGCAGCAGCAACTGCAGCAGCAGCAGCAGGAGGAGCATGTGGTATTATTGATGAAGTCTGTCTTAAACTTGATGATTTACATTTTCTTTTGTCCTTTCAATTCGATTTTTCTCTTCCTCCTCATCCTCCTGTTTCTCATCTAGTTATAGATGACCCTCAACCTTCTCTAACTAAGAGGCATAATAATATACTACCTCCTCCTACTACTACTGTTGCTGCTGCTGCCGCTGCTGCTGCCGCTGCTGCTGCTGCTGCTTCGGCTGCTGTTGATCATGTTAATGATACACATGATGTTGCTGCTGCTGCAGTACATAGCAGCAGCAACAGGAGAATCATACAGCAGCACAAGAGGAAACTTCCACCACACCAACACCATCTTGAAGATGAGCCGTGTGCAGCTACTCTTCCACCTCTCACGTCACCAGCAGCAGCTGCTGCAGCTGCTGCTGCTGCTGTTGCTGTAGCAGCAGGTACAGGTATTGACGCGTTGGGGTTAGGCTGCAGCAGCACCAACAGCAGCGGTTGCAGCAGCAACCATAGTAGGCGCGTTTCCTTAAACTCGCCAGCTGTTGGATGGGGTTTGCCTGCAGCAGCAACAACTGCACCAACTGCAGCAACAGCAGCAGCAACAGCCGACTGGCACAGCAGCACAAAGGTTGAGGGTGGGGTCTCTCCTCCCCTTGAAGACAGCCTTGCCGCACCAGCCTCTCCTCAGAGTGAGCATGTTGCTGCTGTTGCTGCTGTTGCTGCTGCTGGTTGTATTTTGCTGCTGTTGTTGCCAAACTGTCTCTTGTATTCTTTTGTGTGGTGCGTTTGCAGCACCAGCAGCAGCTGTCGCAGCAGCCGCTGCTGCTGCAGCAGACACTGCTGTATCGCCTGTTTGGCATATAGAAGGAACTCCGCCATCTGCTGCTGCTGCATATATGTCTCCTGTATCTGGATTCTGCCCCGGTGCCGCTGCTGCTGCTAAAGTTCAGCAGCCAGCAGCAGAAGCAGAAGAGGCAGCAGCAGCAGCCCCAGAGGCGCCGCTTGTTGCGCCTATCTCTGCCGCACCCTTCTCTATGCAGTTGCCTTGCTCTCAGCAGCAGCAGCAGCAGCAAACAGCTTTGTATGTACAGGGACATGGGGATAACGTTAACTGCATGCCCTACGGGGAGGAGATGCTGCAGCAGCAGCATACGCCATTAACCCCAGTGCTGCCTTTTCAAGGAGCGCAGGAGGACTTTGCTGCTGCTCCTACCGACCAGCAACAACAACAGCAACAGCAACAGCAACAGCAACCACAACCGCAACCGCAACAACAGCAACCGCAGCAGCAGCAACAGCCACAACAGCAGCAGAAGCAGAAACAGCCCCAGAGAAACCGCCATCCCACACCGAAATCCCGCCGCTCATCAGCAGCAACAGTTTCGCGAGCAGCAGCAGCAACAGCAGCAGCAGCAGCAAACAGTAGCATACCTTCTACGCCTTCCTCATCGCAGAAACAGTGCCGCTTAGAAATGTCTCCAGCAGGTGGTCCTGCAGCAGCAACAGCAGCAGCAGGACCTCCAAATGGGGGAGCGGAAGCAGTAGCGAAAACAGAACCAGGTACAGGAGGTGCAGCAGCAGCAGGAGCAGCAACAGCATCATCCGGAGCAGGTTCAGGAACCAGCTCAGGAGCAGCAGGAGGAGGATCATCAGGATCAACAAGCGGAGGAGCAGCAGGAGATGAATGGTGGTTAGTACCTCAACCTCGTGAGGATCCACCTCTATCAGCAGCAGAAGTAGAGTTGCTGCTGCAGCAGCAGCAGCTACCTGCATGCCCTTCTGTTGTATACGATAGAAGTGCTTTTTGTTTTTATGCATTATGGAGATTAAGAGATGGAGTCTTCCAGAGAAGAAAATGTCTAATTGAACCTCTGGGGGCTAGGGAAGCACATAGACAAGCTGTACAAACCCTCATGAAGGTACTATATATAAACCCTAAACCCTAATTAATTCATAAACCCTAATTAAACCCTAATTAAACCCCAGAAAGCTGATTTCCGTCGCCATACACACGAGGAATCTTCTAGCTACGCCGTAGCTACACAAGCAAATTAGTGCAGCAACAGCAGCAGCAGCAGCCCATACTGTTGCAGGTTTAGGGTTTAGGGTTTAGGGTTTAGGGGTTTTTTTTTGTGTACAGATAGGACGTCGTCCTCCTGGTGTAGTATATGACAGCAGAAGCCAGAAATGGAGTGTCTGTGTTACTCGGCATAATGGTAGACATCGCGCATCTTTTTCTGTAAAAAAATTCGGATTTGAAGGAGCACATCAAAAAGCATTAGATTGGTATATTATATACCCTAAACCCTAAACCCTAATAAACCCTAAACCCTAGTAAACCCTAAACCCTAAACTAGAATACCTAACAATCCTAACTATTCTTAAACATTTGATATGGGTGCTGCATGTAAACGAATAGTACAAAATTAGATGTATATGAGTGGACCAAATTGTATCACATTCTGGGTGGAATTAGGGTTTAGGGTTTAGGGTTTAGGGTTTAGGGTTTGGTGTGTATTTCAGGTATGACGCAAAGCGTGTAGAGTTGGGTTTAAGGGAAGCCCCTGGGCAGACAGAAGTGGATATGCAATTTGCTAGTGTTTTGTCATCTGATGAACTTCTTGCTCTTGCACAGCATGCACCTGATGCTGCTCCTCCTGCTGGTGCTGCTGCTGCTGTTGCTGCTGTTGCTACTGCTTCTCCGAATACAGCAGCACCTACTACTACCAACCCACCATCTAACAAGAAAAAACAACAGCAGCAACAACAACATCAGAAACAGCAAAATCAGCAGCAGCAGCAACAGAACATGCATCAACAGCAGCAGCCAAATCTGCATCAGCAGAGTCTGCACCAGCAGCAGAACATGCCGCAGCACCCGCACCAGAATATGCAGCAGCAGCAGCAGCAGAGTGTGCAGCAGCAGCTGCTGCCATTTCATGACTATTCAACACCCGTTGCCGTTTATAACCCTGATGTACCCCCATTAGCAGTACCTACTAGTACAGACAACCCCACGCAACAGCAAGACATGCAGCTGCTGCTACAGCAGCAGCAGATGATAATGCCGATGCAAACACCGCCGCAGCAGCAACAGCAGCCGCAGCAACATGCAACAACATCCACAGCAACAGCAGCAACAACAACAACATCTGGCAGCAGACATAGACCCAGCAAGAGATCTAAAACAGCATCAGGGGCTGTTGCTGAAACGGTAAAGCGGCGTGGCGAATCTAGGTATAGACAGGTGACTGCAGCAGCAGCAACAACAACAACAGCAGCAGCAGCAGAAGCAACTGCTACTGCAGCACCAACCGCAGCAGCGACAGCACATGCTGCAGTATCAGGTATGTCGCGCGCTACACTGCCACAGCTTATGCAGCCTTATGAAGCCAATGCGCAGCAGCAGCAACGGGAGCACCCACTGCAGCAAGTGCATCACATACAGCGGCAGCTGCAGCAGCAGCCGCAGCAACAGACACACAGTTTCTGTCCTGTTGGTATCTCTGGGGAGCAGCACGCAGCGCACAGCAATTAGGCGTGTTGCTGTCTGCCCTCATGGGCGGAGGATATGAGGGTTTGCAGTGCAAATATAAACCCTCTAAATCCTCTAAACCCTAAACCCTAAACCCTAATTTTTGGAGCAGAGAACGCAGTTAGCTGCCAATACAGTGCAGCTTCTTTGATGTATAAGTGCTCTCTGTTATAAGAGGCAGCACATGCATGCAGTATATATACTTTAAAAAACAACTATATATATCTATATATATTTATATTTATATATTAATATATATATGAATAGATATAATGTAAACAAATATATTTCCTTTATATTTGTTGCAGTTTGTATACAAGGCAGCCACAGCAGCAGGCTGCTTCTCCTTTAAGTAATGAAGGATGCAGACACTAAACTGTTGACTCATTTATTTCATTTTGTTGCAAATATACCTGCACCTCCTGGTGCTGCTGCTGGTACTGCGGCTGCTGTTGTTGCTGCTGTTGTTGCTGCTGCTGTTGCTGCTGCTGTTGTTGCTGCTGCTACAATAACCAAATGGAAGGCAGACAGTGGGCGAGAAATATAACAAGGACAACGAAGAAGAGCTGACAGTAAAAGTCATCTCTAATGACAGAAAGGGCGGTTTGTGAGGCCCCCTTTATCTCTATACGGCTGCTGCTTCTGCTGCTGGTGGTGGTATTTTCTGTTGTTGTTCTGCTGCTGTTTGCCGTCCTCGGGGGACACTGTATGGGCTTTGCAGATTCAGCTGTTCCTCCGTTCTATTCTTCCCTTCCATCCGTAATCAACAGCAGCAATAACAGAGCAGCAGCAACAGCAGCAGAAGTTCAGCAGCAACAGCAGCAGTAAGAATGGCAAGAGCTATGCACATACGGCTCACAAGAAGGACAACAGCAGCAACAACAGCAGCAGCAGGAACAGGTATATATATACGATGGTGTTGCACTTGAGCAATTAAATAAAACTAATCAAATCTATTTAGTAAATAATGGTACTCCTTTTAATGGAGTAAATGAGAAGAAATATTCCTCTCTTTAAGAAATATAGACAAAAACACACAAAAAGACAGGAAAGCAGCAGCAGCAGCAGAAGCAGCAAAGGAAACAAACACTCATAGACAGAGGCTGGCAGCAATGATGCTGCAGCTGTTGCACAATAGAAGCATTCTAGTGTCCTCGCTAGTTAGTTCTGCTGCTGCTGATGCTGCATTTCCTGCTGCTGTTGTTGCCGTTTCTCCTGCTGCCCGGGTGTATAGGCAGGTGCAACAACAATTCAACTTTGCTCTGAAGCATTTTCTTCCTCTTCAGGACTTTCTGTTCCTTCTGTTTCTCCTTTAGATGATTCTTCTTCTTTTTCTTCTGTTTCTTCCTGCTGCTTCTCTGCTGCACTTTCCTTCTCTCCTCCCTCGCTGCTGCTCTCTGCTGCTTCTTCTTTACCTGATGCAGTAGCAGAGGATTCTTTCTCTTCCTTTGACTCTTCCTTTCCCTCTTCCTTCTCTTCAGAAGCAGCAGCACTTTCACCCTCTCCTTCTGCTTCTGCAGCAGCAGGGGTCTCTGCCGCAGTTGCTGCTGCTCCTGTTTCCTTCGGCTTGGCTTCTGCAGCATGCTCCTCTGCTGCTGGCGCTTTAGCTGCTGATGCTGATTCTCCTGCTGATTCTGCTGCTGACTCCGCTGCTGCTGCAGCTGATTCTGCTGCTGCTGCTGCTGGCTCTGCTGCAGCTGCAGCTGATTCTGCTGCTGCCGCTGCTGGCTCCGCTGCTGACTCTGCTGCTGACTCCCCTGCCGCTGCTGATTCCGCTGCACCTGTGGACGCAGCTGGTTTGCTTTCTCCTTCTGCGTGGCCTTGTGGGGCCGCCGAAGGATGTTCGCGCACTGTTTCTGCTTCTGGTGCTGCTGCTGTTGGGGCTGCTGCTTCTGACTTTTCTTCTGTTGGCACGGGTTCTGCTGCTGCAGCTTCTTTGGATGGTTTTGCTTCCCCCTCTTTTGGTTCTGCTGCTGCTGCTGCTGCTGCTGTTTCTTCTTCTTTTGCAGGGTGTTTTTCAGGCTGCTGCTCTTCCTCCTCTTTTTCCTCTTTCTTCTGATGCTTCTTGTGCTTCTTCTTCTTTTCGTGAGAAGTTTTCTTCTCCTTACCGAAGACCGGCATTGACTTATCATCAACAGGCAGGAGGGTCTCTTTTTCTGCAGCAGCAAGAGGCGCCGCACCAATAGGAGGAGCAGTAGGAGCGGCAGGAATGCCACCCTTTCCCCCTATTCTCTTTTTCTTACTAATAAAGTCCGATAGATCTTTCCTGCTGATTCTCTCCAGACTAGATGGAAGTTTTTCCTTTGCTGGTTTTATTGGTACTTCAACTGCTGGTATTTCTGGTACTTCTTTTCCTGCAGCAGCAGCAGCAGCTGCTGCAGCAACAGCAGCGAGTTGCTGCTGTCCCAGTTGGCTGCAACTCTTGATACAGCTAGTCTTAACAAGTACTTCCCCTTGCTGCTGCAATTCATGTGGTAAATCGCATGATCCACCATGTTGACTAGGAACGAATTTTCTATAAGTCTCTATTTGTTTAAAAGCCCCAGGAAGACACTGCATGCAATCTTTTGGGTCTTTAGGTCTATAAGAGAATTTACATCTACGAGGAAGAGAGAGTTGTGTCCTTAAATGACATTTAAATACCTCAGGATCATTTGGATATTTACTACGTGTTAACCATAAATAAAAGTTACCCGCATCCTCCATTGCTTCCCTAGACCCTAATAATACAGGCAATGCAAACCATTGAGGGCGACGTCTGCTGCTACCACCCTTGCTGCTGCCTCCTGCTGTGCTGCTGCTGCTGCTTGCCGGACTGGTAGCGGGGAAGGTGTGGGCCCCTACAGGGGCCTCCGATTCTCTCTTCTCTACTTCTGCTGCAGGTTCAATGACAGCTGATAGACGCAGCAGCGCTGCTTCAGAGTTTGCATAATGACGAGAAGGGAAGACAGAGCAAGAAGCAACAGGACCGAAGGAAGTTGCAATATTTTCACAAGTGCCAAGTCTTTCTTTATTCGTTATTACCTGATCTGGTGATACTGCAGCAGCAGTAGGTAACGAATGAGCCTTGCCTGCTGCTGGGGGCAATACGTTAGAGAGTGGTGACACCTTGAAATCCTGCTGCTGTTGCTGCTGCTGCTGATGTTGCTGCTGTTGTTGTTGCTGCTGCTGTTGTTGTTGCTGCTGCTCGTGCTGCACTTGGGTCCCTTTTCCTGCTGGAGGAACCTGAATGATACGCACCCCCCTTGGTGCCGTGACTTCTGCACTGTCTGCTTCTGTTGTAGGAAGAAAGAAGAACCAAGCACGAGTAGCTCTACCAAAGATAGGGTTCTCAATATATACAGAACAATCTTCGCACGCTTCTGTGTTGCAAGGGCGAGTAGATACGAGAGGTTCTTTATCTGCACGGCAAGGGATCTGAAAGTTATCAGGAAACTGTTGTTCTCCTACCCAACGAGGAATGCCATTAGCTACTTGTACAATAGAAGTTATATGGCCAAAGCCACCACAGGGAAACGGACAAGCACCCCAAGGGAAAGCATCAGGAATAGTGCGGGTGTTTCTTTCATCCACGCGGCAACCCAACATCTCCGGACAAGGCTTCTGAAACTTTTCTGAACAAGGAGATAAACTAACAACTGCTTGCATCTTTTCGCTCCATCCTATGCCTAATTCGGCATCCCAAGGATGCATTTCAGCACAAGAGCTACCGAAACCTTTGCGCTCCATCAGAACCTTGCGGATTCGGATCTTGAAGGCATCGTTTTCTGTTGCCTGACAACTCTTTGTGCAGTCTGCCATTGTTTCCCATTCACCTAATTGGCAATTCAGACTACACTCTTCACCTTGACAACGTCTTTTCATGAAGGCACCGCCACAAGCTTCCTCGCTTTCCCCTGCATACAGACTACGAGTCCAAATCTCGAAACCTCCTCCGCACGTTGTACTGCAAGGCGTTTCTTGACGCCATTCTCCCCATATGCAGCCGCGTTTGCTGATAAGTTTCCGATTTTCCCAATGCTTTGTTATGGCATGGCCTCCTGTGAAGCGGAATGTCGCGAACCACCAGTTCGCCGGCAGCTCCACAGACAGGGTTTCCTGCGGTGTATGCACAGCTATGCGGAAAGAATGCCGACCTAAAGGCAAACTTTTGGAGCTATCTGCGCTTGAAATGGTAACAAAAGTGCTTAAAGATTCCGGTCTGTTCTTCATGTATGCTCTTCTTGCCGAACACTTCAATGGAGGTACTTCAGGGTCCAACGAATCGCATATGGAGTCGCCTTCCTTTGTAGAATATTTGGGGGGAAGCGCCACGACAACGAAAGCAATTTGCTTGCTTTCCATGGTCTGCAGGGGAAAGTTGTACAAAATAGTCACAATTGAGTCTGTATCGAGTGCATTTTCATCTTCAATCACCTGAAAATCCCCTACACCCTTAGCAAGCATATTTTCCGTCAGCGTTCCTCCCCCGAAACCTGCTTGTGCAGGTTTCGAGGTATCCTCGGGTTTCGGTGCTTCCCCAGCCTCTTGCACCAATTCTTTCGCAGAGCTACCCTCAGACGAGGAACCATGTTCTGGATGTTCGGGCGCTTCTGTGGCTTCGCTAGCCGACAGCTGCAAGGCAGAATGTAGGCCAATTGGTTCTTCCTGGAGTGCTGGGCGGAAACGAGTGGCATTCCCGGCCCTCCAGGCAGTTGTCGAATCAGCAACATTATCAAGGGATGCAGAAGGTTCAAGCTTTATGTTCATCCACTCCTGAGTTGGCTCTTCATGTCTGGCGATGCGTTCAAGTTTGTCTAGAACGCCTGAATACCACTCTGCCGCTTCTCCGTGATACCCATCAGAGGAGAGTGTTGAATCTTCTTGTTTTCCGATAGCTGCCGATTCAAAATCGGCATCTAAAATACCCAAGTTACGTGCAAGGTCTTCTTTCGCCTGACTGTTGTTGGCGGAGTCTTGATCTGCGAAGCTGAAATAGTCATCGTAAAAGTGGTGTCGCTGCAGGTCCTGGTGTCGTCTGGTGGCGGGAAGAAAGTGGCCGAAGCAGGGCAATGGGCAAGCAATTGGAATACAGCAAAGTAAAAGAGCGGAAAGCCGCATCTTAAAAACGGTCGAAGAGCAAGAAGAGGGTGAAGAAGACGAAGAAGAAGTTGACTTCACCTCCGCCAACTTCTTAGGCGGCGCCGAGATCCGTTCGGGTCCGAGAACAAAGCGGCCTCTGGCACATTCCCCCTTACTTGCAAAATCCATTTCACAATTTCCACAATGCTCGGCGTAATTCATAAATAAGGGGAAATTCTCCTTTTGCAAGAAGCCGAGGCCGAGCAGCAGGCAAGTTCTCGTTCAGGTTGTGCCGCGAGGCGTCATTGCCGTTGTGTGTCGTCACCGCTCGATCTCTATGAGTGTAATTGGCATAAAACTGTCAGATCTGTTTATTTTTATATACAGAAGTAATGTAAAATGCCCGCAGAATCGAAGTTGTACAACAACAGACTCGAGCCGGCGGTGTGTAGTATGGCTGAGGCTCGCCGAGACGAACGTACGGGTCTCGGCAGCGGAAACTTCAGAGAAAAAAAGAGCAAGACAAGTTCTAAAACTACACAATCACGTTTCTTCCTTCGTAATTCAGAAGAATTCGCTCAAGAAGTTAACTCTCGCCCCTTCTCCCCCTGCAGCTTTCGCTGCTGCGGCCCGACAGTAGCAGAATCTGAGACCACCGTAAGGCGCTGCCGACCGTTAGTAACCGCCGATTAAACAAAATAGCACATCATTAAATCTTGGCTATCGAAAATGTATTTCACGTTTACTTCTATTTTCCCTGAAAATTATTTGGACAGTTTCCTTTTAAGAATTCATTATGTTTGCTTACTTCCCTCGTTTTACACTCACCATTTGCAGATGGGGCCCTCAGCGCGCCGGCAGACCCTGCGAGTACTACAAGCTGCATGCAGCGGCCGATTATCGCTGGGTGGCATCTTGCAAAATCGACTATTGCATTTGATTGAAATTACTTGGCCTTTAATGCAACAGAGTTTATAGAGGAGGCGAGCGATCACTGCTTTGTCTGTGCGTCTTTCTGCTTATTGCCTCTTCTGCAAAGCGCCAGCACGCGAGACTGCAGCAACCCAGCATCCGTTGCGATTTAAAGTACTATTTCGTGTATTTCTTGCAAAAATCAGAATCTTCCTCTTGAATTGTAGAAGTCTAGGAGGGCACACCTTTGGCACGCCTCCTCTGTAGGCAGGACGCCTCCATGATGTCCCATTGCAATATCTCCTCCTCAGCTTGAAGGCTTCTTGGGTTGGTTCAGCCCATCACCTTCCAGCAGTAATTAACCTCTTAGCTGCTTACTCTTAGCTTTAGCGGCCGTCTGCAGGCGGCATGAGGGGCACCCCTCTCTCTCCGTGTGCGCCTCGCGTCTCTTTGTCTTGGTTCCCTGTAGCAAAGGGCGGATGGTACCGTCGATTGTCTTTAATTGGTACTCTCTGTGTTATTTTTCTTTTTTGTTTTGGGGTCCTTATATCCGCTGTTAAGTCGTTTGTTGGGTCATTATTCCTTAGTGCGGGGATATGTCTGGTCCTCCTCCTTTTCCTCCTTTACTATCTTACACTCGCGCTGACCCTCCCGGGCAGCAACCGCCTCTTCCAATGGTATATGCAGCAGCAGCTAGCAGCAGATGCTGCAGAAGAGCTGCTGCAGAGGCTGCGGACCCTTGAGCTCTTCTTGCTGCATCTCCTTGCTGCTCCCGTGCGTAGCCTCTCAGAGGAACAGAAGGAAGCTGCCATTCTCTCAGCCCCTCCTTCTTGCCTGCATCATTCCCTCTGCAACAACAGCAACAACAGCAGCAACAACGGCAACAGCAGCAGCAGCAGCTTTAGTAGGCCGTTTCCCCTGTTAAACACCGTAGAAGAAGTGCAGCAAGGTGCCTTGTTTGCTCTTGGAGATGCTGCTATTAAGGACACAATTGCTGATTGTTACTTTATGCTGTCTACGCATCTCCGCGCTTTTCAAGCCCTTCATCTTAAGGCAGACACCCTGCTGCGGCAGGAACGTGGGGCAGCAGCAAGTGTAACAGACACAGGAAGAGCAGCAGCAGCTGCTGCAGCAACAGCAACAGCTGCTGCAGCAACAGCTGCTGCAGCAACAGCAACAGCAGGTAATAAGGAGCTGCCGGGGTGGCATCAGCAGCAGCTAGCTAGATGCACTCTGTCATGGGTAGAAGAAGCCCTCGCCTTTTCTTGCGCTTCTCTTCTTTCTCATCTTTTGAATGTTTCCATTACACCGGCGACAGCTGCGCCGTCGTCAAGCCCTGCTGCTGCTGCTGGGGCAGGAGCAGCAGGAAAGGGGGAAAGGTACCTTTTGGGTGCCGTTCTCGGCTTGCCGTCCCCTGCAGCTGGCGTAGGAAATGAGGCGGCATCAGGCAACAGCAGCAGCAGCACGAGTAGTAGCTTGTTGGGCAGTAAGAAGCAGGAGGAGAGGCTGCCTCTTGCAGGGTTGCAGCTCGCAACATCGGCGGATGTATTCGCCTGTGCTGCTGCACTGCAGCAGCTGCATGCAGTGGCGCTGCTGCTGCTGCCGTTCCAAGGGAGCCATGCGCAGCAGCAGCAGCAGCAGCGGCACGAAGGGCCTCACCTTCGTATGAAGGTGTCTTTTGTGCTGCGCCTTGCGCTGCTGCTGTTTCGCTATCTTGTGTCTCCACCGCTGGCGTCAATGCCGCTGCTGCAGCAGCAAGCAGTACATATGGGTGGCATGCATGCAGATGCAGCAGGAGTCGAGGTGTGGCTGCCAGTGCAGCAGCAAACGCGTCGAGCTCATCTTGCTGCTGCTGTAAAGAAGACTTTTGCTGGCGCCAAGACTTTTGCTGCGCGCTGCTTGCGCTTATGCCCCAGCTGCAGCGGCTGCAGCAGCAGCAGCAGAATCTTCGCCTTGCAGCAGCAACACTTTGCCCTTCTGCAGCACCCTGCTGCTGGTAGCCCCCCTGCGCCACAGCATGCAGGCGTGGCTGCGACGCTGCCTGTTGGTGCCGCATGTGCTCGGAGGAGCACAACAGCAGCAGCGGCGGCAGCAGCAGCAGCAGCACTACTGCGCTTGCTGCAGCATCTTTTAAAGCTATTTCGCCCCCCTCCCCCCAAAACAGTGTACATACAGTGTATGTTTATCCCTGCCTCAGGGACGCATTGGCTGCTGCCCTCTAGTTGCTGCTGCAGTGCAGAAGCAGCAACTGCTGCCTCTGATTTGCTGCCTCATGACTTCTCCTTCCCTCCAAGCCGGTGTCGCCACTGCTTACCCGTTGCTGCCAATTCACAGCAGCTGCTGCAGCAGCAGCAGCAGCAGCAGGTTCTGCTAGGAGGCGGAGGCCGCTGTGCTGAGAAGCGGGAGCTGCTAACTGGGGGCTTCCTTTGTCATCTTGCTGCTGATGTATCAAGGGTACAAAAGGCAGCATTTTCTCTTTTTATGTGTCTATCGAGGCAGCAGATTGCTGCTGCTGCTGCTTCTGCTGCTGCTACCGCTTCGCGTCTGCAGCCTAGCAGCAGCACAAGAGGCTTTGCGCGCCGTTTGATAGTGGGCAGCACCCCATCGCAACAGCAACTACAGCAGCACAGGGTGCTAATGCTCCAGCAACAAGCTCGCAGGACGCTTGCTGCTGCTGCTCTTCTCAAGGTAGGCGTTGCTCTTGCTGCAGCAGCAGGAGAAGCAGCAATTCAGATAGTCCGCCAGCGCGCTGCAGGTCTGCGAAAGTGCTTCCAGACCCAGCAGTCGCACCGGCAGCAGCATCGGCTGCACAGCAGCAGCAGGATAGGAGGAGAACCTACAGCTCTTGTAGCAGCAGAGACACCTTTCCGTTTTGTCTGCGGTTGCCAAATCCCCCATTGCAACGCTTGCGACGGCCCAGGCGCAGCAGCAACAGCAGCGGCAGCAACAGGTGCACGTGCAGCAGCAGCAGCAGCAGCAGAAGCAGCAGCAGATAGATCAGGTATAGGAGGAGATATTGTATTAATGTTTAATCCTAATGCTGGCGCATTTGAAATGTCATTAGCAGCACAAGACCCAGAGATTATTTGTTATCTAAACAGGTCTGTCTTCTTTTTGTCTCCATTTATGTCTCCTTTTGTCTCCTTTTCTTTTTGTCTCCTTTTCTTTCTGTCTCTTTTTATGTCTCCTTTTTGTCCCCATATATGTATATGTGTATAGGGGGTTAAGTGTAATATTATATAATTATAGAGGTTCTTCTTCCTCTGACGGGTCTCCTTCTTTCCCTAACATATTAAGAGATTCATTTAATTTATATTTATTTGCTGCAAATCTACCAGGTAATAAGGAGACACTATCTGTCTCCTCCTGTCCCCTATCTCCTTCCGTCTCTGTCTCTCTTTTCTCTTTTCGTCTTGCTGTTTTTCTCTCTCTGTTTTTCTTTCTCTGTCTCTGTATCCCTTTCTGCAACTCTTCCTTTCCCGACTCCACCCAGCCGTACCAGCTGCATCAGCAGCAGCAGCAGCAACAGCACCAGCCGCAGCAGCTGCAGCAGCAAGTTGGTGCTGTGTTAGTTGACTTTTGTGGTGTCTGTAGGTGTCCGCCGCATCGCCCTTCATGGCCGATCTATTGGCGGTCTCCCTGCTGCTTACGTCGCCTGTCTTTCTCAAGTCCAGCAGCAGCAGCAGCAGGTTCAATTTGGTGCTGCTGCTGCAGCTGCTGCTGCTGCTACAGCCCCTGTAGGCTGCTCTTATCCGTCCATGTTCCCGCACGAAATGAGCAGGAGCAGTAGTGGCATCAGCAGTAGCCGCACGACTGCTTGCAGCACAACGCGCAGCAATAGCAGCAGCAGCGGCAGCAGCAGCAGCATCTGTAAGGGCAGCAGCAGCAGCACTTGTCCTGTCGCCCTTCTTTGTGTAGATAGAAGTTTTTCTTCTCTTGAAGCAGCAGCAACTTCTTTATTCGGGTGGTGGGCAGCAGCAGCGGTGCGCGGAGCAGCAGCAACTTCTGCATTTTGCCTGCCAGACTGCAGCAGCAACTGCTACTGCTGCAGCAACAACAGCTGCTGCAGCAGCGGCTGCTGCAGCAGCAGCAGTAGCAGTTGCTGCTGCTGCTCCTCCCCTCGCATGGGAGAGAACTTCCCTCAGCAAGCATCTTCCATGCAAACTGGAGAACTGCTAATGTTGGAGGAAGGCGCTGCCACTACTAGAAGAAGCACCAGCAGCAGCAACAGCAGCAGCAGCAATAGCAGCAAGAAGTCTGCAATATCACCTGAAGCGACGGCTGTTGGGTCGCCAGTATCAGCAGTGGCAGCAGAAAGCGCCGTTTCAGCCGCAGCAACAACAGCAGCAGCAGAAGAAGCAGCAGCAGAGTGCTTAGAACGCGTTTCTGCAGCAGCAGCCTTTATTGCTGCTAACTGCAGCAAAATAGTTGTATATACACCCCATGACGAAATAATATCAGACGAGGCGTCTTTAAAGACAGCCATGGCAAGGTATATTAATCCTCTGCTATTTGAACTGCAGCACCAGCAACAGCAGCAACAGCAGCAGCAGCAGCAGGTGCTCCAACAGCATCAGAATGGCTTCGGGTGGTCCGCTTCTGGTAGTAGCAAATGGGGGTTGGCAGCCTCTACACAGAAAACTGCAGCAGCAGCAGCAGCGGCAACTGCAGCAACTGCAGCAACTGCAGCAAGAGCAGCTGTCTCTCTTGAGGAGACACTTCAACTTGTGGTGGGTTTATTATATATATATATA